CCTCCTCATAAAATGTTCACCCAGGCCAATTTCTTCAAGTGTTTTCCCTACACTTTCTTCTAGTATTTTTATGGTTTCATGTCTTAAGTTTAAATCTTACCACAATTGTTAATCCTTTCCTGAGTTGATGGGCATTTAGATTGTTTCCACATCTTGGCAATTGTAAATTGAGCTGTGACAAATAACCTAGTGCAAATCTTTTTATGATGAAATGATTTTTTTCTTCTGGGTAGAGATGTCTAGTAGTTGGGTCGCAGGCTCAAATGGGAGATCTAATTTGAGTTCTTTGAGGATTCTCCATTCTTCTTTTCAAAGAGATTATATTAGTTTGCAGTGCTACCAATGGTGTAAAAGTGTACCCTGCTCTCCACATCCATGCCAGCATCTGTAGCTTAGGGACTTTGTGATATGGGCTAATCTTACTGGGGTTAGGATATCTCAGGGTGGGTTTGATTTGCATTTCTCTGATGATTAGGAATGATGAGAAATTTTTTCAAGTATTTTTTAGCCATTCTTATGTCTTCCTTAGAGAAGTCACTCAGTGATAGATGGAATTGTTTGCTCTTTTTTTATTAATTTGAGCTCTCTGTAAATTCTCGTTATCAAACCTTTGTTACATTTGTAACATGCCATTGTGAAGGTTGTCTATTAGCTTTGGTTGTTCTCTCTTCAGCTGTACAGAAGCTTTTCAGTTTATTTAAGTCCCATTTATTTATTTTTGTTGCTGCAATTGCCACAGAAGTCTTTGTCATAAACTCTTTCCCCAGGCCAACATCTTCTAGAATTTTCACCACACTTTCTTGTAGGATTTTTATAGTTTCATGCCTTACATTTAAATGTTTTATCTATCTTGAATCAATTTTTCTAAATGGAAAAGATGCAGGTCCAATCTCAGTCTTTTACACATGGTTATCCTTTTCTCCCAGTACTATTTATTGAATAAGGACTCTTTTCCCCAGTGTATGTGCTCTTCTTTGGTTTATCAAAGATCCAGTGGCTGTAGATGTTAGTTTCATCTCTGTTTTCTATTCTGTTCCATACATCTACATCTCTATTTTTGTGCCAATTCCATGCTGTTTTGATTCCTATGGACTTGTGGTATAGCCTAAAGTCTGGTAGGATGATGCCCCTAGCTTTGTTTTTATTACTAAAAATTCCCTTGGCTATACAGGGTTTTGTTCCACACAAAATGAAGTACTATTTTTTCCACATCTTGAAAGCATGATGTTGGGATTTTAATAGGGATTGCATTGAATCTGTAGATTGCTTTGAGAAGTATAGACATTTTAGCATTAATTAGAATCAACATTAATTTTGATTCTTCCCAGCCATGAGCATGGTATGTTCTTCCATTTGTTAATGTCTTCTGCTATTTCTTTCATTAGGATTTTATAATTCTCTTTGTAAGGTTCTTCACCTCTTTTGTTAGGTATATTCCATGGTATTTCATTTTCTTTGAAGCCACCCTGAAGGGAATTGTGTCTTTAATTGGTTTCTCAACTTGGCTGTTTTTGGAATATACAAAACCCACTGATTTGTGGACATTGATTTTATATCTTGAGATGTTAAGTACTGATCACTTCCAGGAGTCTTGTGATTGAGTTTTTGTGAGAGTGAGAGTTTGACCTCCTGTGCTCCCATTT